TTTCTGCAATGACCGCACTACCTTTGCTTTTGTTATAATAATCTTTTTTACATATTAAAACCTGATGTCTAAACAATAGTCTGTGGCAGACACAGCAAACAAAGTCTGGACCATGTTGAACCTTTCCTAAAAACTGCTTTATGACAAAATCTAACTCTTTAGACATTTCTTTATGCTGCTTTTTATTTAATTTTACACGTAACAAAACATTTTGTCTGTGTTTTGCATTACCGTGATAGTTTCTTCTACTAACATCTTTTAAGTACCGTCTGTACCGCTGATTAATTTTGTATTTTTGGATACTCAGTGCTTTTACTTTTTGTCTATAAAGAAGATCAAATTTGTATTTTTCTTTACTCAGTGCTTTTACTTTTTCTTTATGCAGAAGATTACATTGATATTTTTCTTTACTCTGTGCTTTTACTTTTTCTTTATGGAGAAGATTACATTGATATTTTTCTTTACTTAGTGCTTTTACTTTTTCTTTATGGAGAAGATTACATTGATATTTTTCTTTACTCAGTGCTTTCAATTTTTCTTTATGGTGAAGATTATATTCATATCTTTTTTTACTCAGGGCCTTCACCTTCTCTTTATGTAAATACAGTTCCCTATACATCCTTTTGTTTGAATTTATTTTCTTCTGTTTATAAGAATCTTTTTGATGATACATAAGTTTATTTTTAAACTTAACAGTTTCTTTATATTCCAAATTGGAGTGGTAGTCTGTCATTTTTTTAAACTTTAGTTTATTTTTAAAATATCTTGACTTAAATGGTGAAATGCTGATTTTTTCATCGCTACATTGTTTAGCTTTCAAAGTTCTTCCACGCGTAATTAATGTGCCAAATTGACTTACTTTACACAAACCATAGCAAGTCATTGTATCACCTTTACTCACACAAGTAACAACATCAAAATGAAACGAGTTCTGTCTAAGATATATTCCTGTAGTCATTTCTGTTGGCCTTAAACAATTATATTTAGTCCATTGCGTGCCATTATAAATATACAAGTTAACTCCTAATGTTTTAGTTGTTGCATGGATTTCTATTTCAGAAGCTTCATGACCAACAAACTTCATTTTTGACCTCTCAAGATAATCTGAAACAGAAACATAGCCACTTCCCAACAACTGCACATCATCTGCATTTTTCTCCATGTAAGAAACAACAGCAAGTCTAATTTTGCGATGACTTTTCTGAGATCCACTAACTACATGACCTACTGCTCTGAAAAAACTGTTCCCGTCTCCTCGCATTTTCTCAGTTTCACACAAATCCCCTAACGATCCACATTCTGTCTCTGCTGTGTCCTGTTTTACATAATCTATGTTCAACTTCTTACACAAAGACATGGCAACATTGTTACATACAGGATTAAAACTTAAACACTGTTCCTCTCCATCAACTATCATGACACTGTCAGCATCTACACAACTAAGATCCTGTAACCCTACATCATCTGTAGCCCGTTTTCTAGTATTATATCCTTCACAATCTGAACCCTTTACTTTACAATAACCATAACAACCTTGTGTTTGTGGTTGTCTCACACAAACAACTGTCTCATAATGATTACCTTCAACATTTTGTAAATAAATACACTGACTTGATAACTGACTACTATGACATTTGTATTCAAGCCATTTATCAATATAATATGTAAATATATTAACACCCAAACAATCTGCTGCAGCTTGGATTTCTACCTCAGTTGCCCAACTACCAACATACTGCATCCTTGATCTGCTGATATAGTCAGAAACTGATGAATATTCGTCTCTCAAAATGCTACAATATAACTGAGGATTCTTTTCTAGCTGCTTCACTACAGCAAGTCTTATTTTCCTGTGCCCTTTCTGTGTACCACTAACAGCCTGACTCAGTGCACGAAAAAAACAATTTCCGTCACCAACAATTTTTTCCAACTTGCATGGAACCCCCAAATCCCCTACTAAAAATGATACTGGGTCACCTTTTTCACAAACTAGCTTTAACTGTTTGCATACATCAGCAGCAACCACTTTTGAAAGGGGATTAAATTTCAAAGGTTTAATTCTCTCAACACAGACAAAGTCCACATCATCATCTCCATCAGCTACATCTACTGATTTAAACTTTTTTAAAGTTGAACATTTAGGCTTTACATTCCCCACCTCTGTTAACAATAGTGCCTCAGCACAATCATCTTGAAGTGAACTACAACCAAACTGTTCTTGGATAATTTCATCAGAACACACAGACAAAATGGCCTTTGGAAGCATGTTAATAGAAACACCACTAATTTCAAATACCCTGCCACTTACATTAGACTGTCCAGCAAAAGTATTAAGATGATGAAATACATCTTTAAGGCTGCTAAAATACAATACAATGCTTTTTTCGTCAGCAACAACCCTCCCATCAGAGTTACGTGAATGGGAGTCAACTAAAGCATAACGTCCTTTATCACTAATGAGAGCACAAGTACTGTCATTCACTATTATAAAGCATGTTTCATACTTTGTGCATAACTTGTCTAATCCTTCCTGTAGTGTAGGAACCGCAACATCAGTCCTCTCTACGTATCCACTAACAAAGTCCCCCAACTTCAGTTGAAACGTATGCCCTTCAACATCCACATGCTCAGGCAAGTCTAAAACTGAAAGGAGATAATTCTCACCACTAATCACATTTCTTTTGCGTAAATTTGTGTAAAGCTCATCACCTAACACAACTACATTATCCAAAGTGTCAGACTGCCATGAGAAAACACTGTTAATTTTGTGCTTAATTAAAGCCACAGCACTGACTGCTGTACACTGAACTCCACTGTACAAAAATCGTTCATCACCTTGATGGAATGATCCACGAACAAAACGAACTGCCTTGCCAGCCACAGCATCAACCTTAGAACAAACAGCCTCGCCAGCCACAGCATCAACCTCAGAACAAACTGCCTCGCCAGCCACAACATCAACCTCAGAACAAACTTCCTGGCCTGCAACACCAATCTCCTGACCTGCAACACCAAGTCCTCCATCTTCGGTTTCACTATCAGTAACATCTGCTGCACATGTATCCATGTCAGCAGACAAGCACACCACAGAAATGCTCCAAACACTATAAACATATGTGTTTAAGGACACACTTAGATTTAATATGTGCAAAATCAAATCATTTAAACATGTGTTGAAAACCAAGACACTTGTTCCCCACTCACATGACATTCCTTGAGAATTCCTTTTTGCACAGTCAACAACTACAAAGTAATCATGATGCCTGATAACCAAGATCGTTGCAGCTTTAAACTCAATAACGCACATTCCATCTTTCAAACAGGCTTGCAGCACCTCACTTAATCCCACATTCTTATCAAAGTCAAAATGACAACAAACCACATTACCACTTTCTGCTTTGAACACTCCACCAAAGATTCTTTGTTGTTCTACCAATTTGCACACTTCCAGGCCATCATCTACGTCCACCCCTTTTCTAGCTACAAAGGCTGCAAACTTTGAACCTTCAACAACAATTTCATCCACATCTGATGAATTCCAAGTGCAGACGGGAAAAATGGTGTGTTTTATTGCAGCTATAATATTACACCCACTTACCTTTTTAATATTCAGAAAACGGTTAGGATTCTGCAGCAACCTACCTGGAACAAGAGGCAACGGCATCCCCTCTGAACAAACACAAGAAACAAGATTAACAGCCTGACCTTTTGATGTTTGAGTGCGCTGTCCAACATCCCCCTCCGCAGGCCCCTTTAGAATAAAGGAAAAATGTTCCCAAGTGCAATAAACACAATATTCAAAACATATTTTTATTCAATACCACACAATAACTTTTGCTATGTACATGTCACTTATATCAATTTATTTTTCAAAATGCTGAAGTTTATGAATTGTAAACTGATGGTGGTCAGAAGGCCCGAGGACACCAGTGACGGCAGCCTCGATTCTGTCATTGAAACCCAGGACAGCGTGGGCTATGATGTAGTTTGCCATATAATATTGTGTAGAGCCTGTTGACTTGGAAAAGCGTTACACAAGTACAGACCATTTATCATGCACCATGTAACCAACCTAAACTTCAGAACAAACATACCTGTATGATGAAAACATCAGATTTTATTTGTTGCATTTCATTTTAAATGTTGTGTAAATTAACAAACTTCATCAAAGCTAGCAACTCCAAAAAGTGATAAAAAAAAAAAATCTTTATTTACAGAAAGATACTTTATAAAATTAATAACAGTGATATATAGAAATGTTATGATAAACATAACATCATATTCTGTACTATTTATAAAAACACAATATTTATTATTGCATCAACAGGTTACCTGAATCTTAAATTGACTGCTCTGTCTAACTCCCTTTAAGAGTTCCTTTACTCACCCCAAATATAATGCTAAATTTTTAACAAGGCATGGTTCTTTAACAAACTTACTACAGATACATACCTGGATTGCTGCACCACCAGGCATCGCACCAGCAACAGGAGAAAGAGCAGCAGCAGCAGGACCCTCGGACGTTTCCCCAGGACAGGGAGAACGCTGAACATCACAGACAAGCACCCTGTCATGTGCCGTCTCTGCCTATATCACAATTTAAAGAAATTTTTTTTACATCTGATGAACTAATTTCACAAAAAAATACCAAAAGAACACAATTGACTGACTCATATGCATCATTATTGTCAACAGTGGAAACTTCATAACAAATTTCAATTAAAATAAATTGATACCTTCTTCTTACGAGGAGGGGGCTCCACACCTGCAGTGTCTGTCATGCACGGCATGGGTGAATCCTATATATAACAAAATACATAGGGATCAAAGATCTGTTATAATTGAATTGATCAGGTCCTTAAATAAATTAATTGTGCTATACAAACCTGCTGTCTAACCCGCCTGGTCTTCAAGACAGCTGGATTCTTGCGATGTTTCACAGGTCTCTGAAAAAACTACAAAAACAATATTCATTATCATTTATAAAAACCAACAACTATTTATCTGATAGTTAATAGTTTGTTAAAAATTACCACGTTGCCTGTGGGAACATCGCCAAGAGCCGATGGAGAAACTTTTTCCATGGCAACCAACATTTCTTCTGAAAACCGCACAGGATTTAGTGGGATGAAGCACTCCCTCAAAGCCACAGAAGTGCCATCCGCCTGTTCAGGAAATACAACAAAAAATCCATAAATTTAAATACCATCAACCCTTCTAAATATTAATAAGCTGTAACATCAACTATACCTGCTTATGAAACACTCTGCTGCTGGGTGAAGCCGAGGACGACTCAGATTCACCAGAGTGTTTCCTCTGTAATGGCAAACAGATAAACATATTGAAACAGTTTCTGACAAGGGTTAACCATAAGGACATCATTCTTACAGTTAAAAGTAAACGCTCACCTTCCTGTCGGATTTCACAGACGTCCACTCAGAAGGGGGTGGAGGAGGTGGACGTTCCACACCCTTCAAGACCAAACGGGGCACAAATCTCGGGGTGTATGGATGAGACACCTGTCTTTGCACTGGTGGCGGCAGTGCTGGTGTCTCCAGGAACTGATAGGAAGACATCCAAATCAGCTCCGCGAGAAGTGGCATCCCGTGATCATCACTTAAGTGGATCTATGACATGAATAAATACTTATTAACTTTAAAAAAATTCCATAATGTCAATTTAATCGGTTTGAAATTAGTTTACACTTACACCATCACGGCACCACAGATGGCGACGGCTCCGGGGGTAGTATTCAGCGATGGATGTAAAACTTACACCTGAATAAACATGAAATGAAAAAGAACATCTCAATTCCAGATGATTCAGTAACAGACTTCATGAAGTTATTTTAAATACATATTTGAAACCACAATCAAATGAGAAAAATTGATTTCTATAATTACCCAGACGTTTCGCCCTGCGGTGGAACTCTTGATTATAGAAGTTCACCTTCTCCCCAGACTCCGTTAGACGCGGGACCATTGAAATGCAGAAAGCCTGAAAAGTAAGTAACAATATTTATATAGCACTTTTCACAGACCAGGGTCACAAAGTGCTACACAAATTTATAAAAAGTTTATATAAATTAAACAACATACAGTAACAGTAAAGACAGTATAAAACCATAATGAATTAACAAAAGCTATATACATCCAAAGCAAATACTTCTGTTCAGAGAACACAACACTCACCTTTGGCCAGCGACTGAGAACAGCCTTCAGGTACCTCTCAAAGGATTGTCCCGCTTGTTCTGGCGTGTTGCTGGCTGTAAGGTCGTTGGACGGAGCCAGAATGCAAACTGCATCAGGCTCCCGAGATACTTCAGCATTAAGTACCTCTAGGCGAAGGTCATTTGCTGCTGCTCCCGGAGTCGACATGAATCCGAAAACAAAGCGACCGGCTGGCATACGAACGATGCCGTCTGCAAATGACCGCAGATGGGAGGCACCGATAACCAGGATGAACTGAAAATAAATAACATTAAAATGTGAAAAAACTCACTAAAAACAGATAGAAATATAAAGATATTTCTTCATAATATATTTATAATATTCAACATACTTGCTTATCAGGGCTCCCATCAGGAATAACCAGTTTGTGTTGGTGAGGCGTCACCAAACTGGCTTCCCATTTCATAACTTTGTGTCTCTTTCCTGTACCACCAACTGTTAAAAGACATAAGAACTATTAAAAAATGTATTTTTGCTAAAACAATGTTAATCAACATTTACAGAATAGGAACTCTACATTAAAAAATACTTACGTGGCACGAAATCGACAGAAGGTTGCTGTATCCCTATGCGCTCAGTTCGGGTGACTTCAAGTCGCCTACGAGCTGCCTCAGATCTACGATGAGACCTGCCACGAGGCATCTGAAAATGTACATTAAATAAGCATATTTTAAAGAACTATAAAAAGAAAAGATAACCTTCAACTAAACAGTTTATTCATCCGCATATGAGAAATGATCACCCACAAAAGTGCAAAGCTAGAACAATAAATCACAAAACACAATACCCAGTCACAAGTTAAATGAGCACATATCTGATTTCTGATTGAACAGACAAAATCAGAGCTTCTAGATATCTGGGAAATTATTTTCTCTGCTATCATTACATGAAGTGACAGGTTCATAAATCTGTTTTTAAGCAGAAACAAAAATAAAAGAGGGACAGCTGCATTAATTAGATATAATTTTGAGCACATTTTTGGAAAATATGAAACCCTACTAAAAGCATTTGGGTTGTATGACTGTACAACCATTGACTCCCACAATCTTTCATCACAATGTTGCACCATTTTAACAAAGGTTCATTTAAAGACATTTTAGAACCGAATGCTGAGCTTTCATTTACATTAAAAAAAATACATCTTTTACATGACTAAATTTGGATATGTAAACTTTTGTCATGAATAGTAGTCTGTATGAAAACTCAAAAACAATCTGCATTATCTGAAAATGGAGTAAAAGACAAATAAAGTTCATTTCATATGCAGTTATTGCTACTACCTCCAATAATATCCCAAAAAAATATAAATGAGCATTTTTAGTATTTAATCAGATAAAATACATTTCTGTTACACATTATAATGATTATGGAAGTGATCTTGATTAATCTCTAGTGATTAGGTTATAGAGATTAGAATCCTGAGTGACTGAGTTCAATTCCCAATCCCACAGCTTGCAACTCTGAGCAAGACCCTTAACCCCACACTGCTCCCTGGGCACTGCACAATGGCAGCCCACTCCTCCCCAAGGAGATAAGTTAAATGCAGAGAATCATTTCATAGCTCTATATCTGTGACAGTTGAATGGCAATAAAACACTAGAATATCGGAAAAATATATTTTATTGTTTTTTTCCTATTCCTCATATCACTCTTAAATGAAGTTTTTTCTTATTTTAAATCTACAACATGGAAATGTCCATAGATTTGATATCAGAAATCACACACAATAGTATCCCATTCATTGCACCAAAAACAGTAGCTAGGACAGCCAAAGCTAATACTAATGGGCACAATCCAAGACAGACAGCCATACAACCACAAAAAGAACTTTTACATACACTTACCTCGAGAAAAATTAAATCCTGCAGTCGACAAAATCCAGGGGTTACGAGAAAAAAGCAAATGTTCTTTTGGAACTCTGCTTTTTGCTCTTCAGGTGAAACCTTTAAGACAGCTGAAGCTCCCTCAAAGTCAGTCTACAATAAAAAAAAAACAAACACCCAACCTTTGTTGATTACATATTATTATAATTAAGCAACCTTTGTCAAACATTCTCATAACATACAAATAAGGTTATTTCACCAACATACATTAATTTAATGTAAATATTTAAGATTAAAGGAACTGCACAAAAAAAATTAGACATTAAATTCCATCTAATGCTACAATCTGCTCCCGACATATATTACTATAAACAGTCCCATAATACAGCTGCTTTAAATTTACTACATTTTACAAAAAATTTGCATTCCTCATTTTACTACTGACACGCTAATAATTTCCAGAACGTTTGTCATAAAGACGGAGACGTAAAATAAATGTGATCGTCCACACGAATGCCTGAAAACGCTGCAAAATGAATACCAGGCCTGTAAGTGGCGCTGTGGTGCCAAAGCTAAAACAGGCAACGAAATGTTGGGCATGCGCACTAATATTTATACATGGTTGCCCTGCGGCTCCATTTTCGTGGTTCAGACAAATTCTGGTGTTCAACTATGTCGTCGATATTGCTCTGTTCTTCCTGGAGATATTCCAGAAGAAAAAGATTCTGTTGTAAACCCGAAAGCAGGCCGAGTAGCATTAGCAGCAACCATTCAACACAGGACGCCGCCATTGTTGTTATGATACGGTGTCACGCATACGTGCTTAGACGCGACGCTATGACGCATGCGTGTAAAAAAAAATTGCGGTTAGAGCTTAAAGATGGAAAAGCGAAAACGGCGTTTAAAACCTTCCCACTCTGAAGGCTGAATAAAAAAAAACAGAAAAAAAAACCTTTACATACCCCCACACGCCGGCTTCGTATGAATGAGAGGCTGGTTTGATGAAAAACTTGTGCGTTAAGGCCAGTGTTCAGCTTCGTGTGGACGAGGCCTCAGAGGACAAAATAGCCTCGAGTCCATGTGCTAGCTGCCACTCCACAAACAAAGACAAAGACCGCTAGCTAGCACAACCAGACATACACCCACAGCGAACCTCGGCCTCATCAACAAACAAAGACACAACGAGCTACGGCGCATCCGCTAGCTACAAACCACACAGCCGTAGCAAGACTACCCTATAGAAGCACACCAACAAACAAAGACACAACATCCTCGCCCTCGGCAATAGAAGCCAACAAAGAAAGAAATAGAAAGCATCAGCCCCTCGGCTAACTAGTACACCACAATCACAGACAAATAACCTCAATGGTATCCAGCACAGACTAAATGCACTTCTACAGAAAATAGCCAATGCCCTAAGGAACACAGCAATACAAGCGCAAAAAGAACTTTTAAACACACTTACCACCAGAGAAATGAAATCCTGCGGTCGACAAATCCAAGGCTTAAGAGAAAAATGCAAATGTTCTATATGAACTCTGCTTTTTGCTCCTAAGATGAAAGTGAGGCACTCCCGTAAAGCGAGTCTACTAGAGACAACTTACCTCCGGCAAAAACGCAATATATTGAACACCTGGACTGACCAATAGCGTTGCGTCAAGCACATCAGCCAATCAGACTGCACATAAGCCGCCCGTTAGAAAAGATTTGAAAATAAACAGACCAATCAGATAACGTTATAATCAGGAATTAACCTCCAGTTTACATATATAAAAAAAATAGATAACCCACATTTAAATAAATATGAATTATAAATGCAAAAAATATATACATTATATTTCTAAAAATATTTATAAAAATTCAATGACAACAACATTTTTTAAAACAATAAAATCATTTTATAGGACATTATTTTATTTCAACTTGACTCATAGTACCCATCTGCATAATATAACACCATGTTTGCATTACAAAAAATAATTTTATATCCAGTCTGGACCATTAAATGAAATGATTAAGCTTAAAAAAAAAAACAACATATATATATATATATATATATATATATATATATATATATATATATATATATATATATATATATATATATATATATATATATATATATATATATATATGTGCGTGTTTGTGATATGATAGGTGATGATTTATGACACCCCTCATATTTCTGGTGTGATAATAGCCAAAAATACATAAAAAAATGCTTAGAAGTACATACAAGATGACATAATCTTACAAACCCATCACCATCAATGCTTATTATTCCCATAAATCCAATCATTACCACTTACTGTAGGTCAAAAACTTGACTAAAACCATCAGATACTGGTTTTAGTAATTAATTAATTAATGTAAACCTAGCTTGATGCCCTACAATTTAAAAAAAAGCATGATCTCACATTGCCTCCTGCCTTATACTAATAGAAAATAATTTCTTGAAATGCTTATTAAAATCATAGCTTAAATTTGATCCACGACAACCATACTGGATCATGTTAACTTGAAACAAAGTAGAAAGACAGCCAAATATTCCTGAATTCAACTCTATTAGTAATTCAAGTTACTTACCATAATCTTAATTCACTTTATCAATCTCCAAAAAATATACTTTCAAATATTTCCCTTTAATCACTGCTAAACAGCTTTTACATGCATTTAACCATTCCACTGTACCAGCTGGCAAAAAACACATTTTTCTACTAATATGTATGGATTAACTAGCAATTATGAAGTACAATTCCCTTAAAATGTTCAACTAATCTAATTAAATTTGTAAAATCATATATCATAATAACTTTTATGTTTTACTACATGCTAATCAACTCTAAAGTTGCTCTTTGCTTCTTTAATATATATATATATGTCATTTATCTATATGTGTCTTTGTGATATAATAGGTGATTTTTTAAGACACCCCTCATATTTCCGGTATGATAATAGCAAAAAATAAATAAATACTTAGAAATACATGCACAATGACATAATCTTACAAACCCATTGCTTTAAATGTTTATTAATCCAATAAATCCAAATATTACCACTTACTGTGGGTCAGAAACTTCACTGAAACCATGAGATCCTGGTTTTTGTAATGAAATAATTAATGTAAACCTAGCTTGCTGCCCTACAATTTTAAAAATGCATGGTCTGACAGTGCCTCCTTCCTTATCCAAAAAGAAAAATAATATTTTTAAATACTTATTATATATCATAGCTAAAATTTGATCCACCACAAGCATACTGAATCATGTTAACTTCAAACAACGTAAAAAGACAGTCAAAATATTGCTAAATTCAAGTCTTTTAGTAATTCAACCTACTTACCACTATCTTAATTCACTTTATCAATCTAAAAAAAAAATACTTTCAAATACTTCCCTTTAATCACTGCTAAACAGCTTTTACATGCATTTAAGCATACCACTGTAACAGCTGGCAAAAAACACATTTTCTTAGTAATATGTATAAATTAACTTGCAATTATGAAGTACAATTCCCTTAAAATATTCCACTAATCTAAATAAATTTGTAAAATCATATATCCTAACAACATTAATGTTTTACTACATGCTAATCAACTCTATAGTTGCTCTTTGATGCTTTGAAAAATATATATATACATATATATAAAGGAAAAAATTCAAAGATCATGATATTTGTTAATCAACAATTCATACTCCTATTTTACATATTAAATATTTCACTAGAAGCAACTAAACCAAGCAAAAAACCACATAAAATTTCAGCATAATGAAATACCACAAGACTCAAAGTGAAAAAACAACTTTACTAAAAAAAGAACATTTCAAGCCAGAACAAAATATGTATTAAATAAAATTAAAGATATAAAAACAAACAGCAAAAAAACATCACACATATTAACTATCTAAAATAAAATTAAGCCTCCTTTTCTTCTTGCATTATTTCAGGCTCCACAGATTCTTCTCCCTCTTGCTCCATCATTTCTGAAACTGTTTCAGGTAGAAAAAATATTATTACTTATTTAAGATACAACTTTAAAACACAGTCTATATAATCATATATGTACTTCACTCTAATAACAATCATTGTATCAATACATATTACACATCAATTACTGACATAAATAAAAATCTATTTTTCTCAAGCCACTTAGTCTTCCCTTAAATAAAAAAATACTCACAGCTATATAAACTACTGCCATACCACATAGTCACACTCTTTACATTACTAAATAATTAATCTCTGTCTTAGTATTATTTGTGTGATTCTTAAACTTTTTAAATCAGGATAATTTATTCCTGCCCACCCCCCCAAAATATTAATGTATCCCTTCTTTATTTGATAATGCATCAATAGAAAATATTGAATAATAGCCCAAGCCTAAAAAAAAACAGGCCATAAATGCAAATAAAGAATAGACAATGAAGCTGCAAAGAAAAATTGAAAAAATAATATATATCATTAACAAAATGTGACTCAAACAAAACACTAGCCATGATGCATACAAAAATTTACACTCAAATATGATAACAATTACAACAAATAAAACCAATACCATCTTCAGAAAAGGCAAGAGCCAGCTGAAGGCCTTCTCTTTCGATCTTCAGCTCTACAATTTCTTGCTCCTTTAATTTGAGCTGGCAGAACGCATTATTGGCCCGCTGCTCTTGCGCCTTCCGCTGACGCTCACTACGAAAAAGCCTTTCGAGAAGCTTATTGTAGGTGATACAATTTCTCCCGAAGGCTTCCTCCCTTGCTACCGCCGCATCACCAATAAGGTACTGCAAATAACAAAAAGCAACATATGAATAACATTAAAACAAAAGTAAACATCTCAGAAGCCTGATGCACTTTGTGGTATGGCTCCGTTTTAGAAACAATTAAAAATAAAAACAACTCCAGTTTTGATTTGGAACAAACAATTATTATACTACAATAACTAGAACTTGTTTTTTATATTCAACAATAACAATAACATTAATGATTTAGATAACATGATTAGCATCTAATAACAATAATACATATCATAACAAAAAAAAAAAATTTAACCTCAGAACCACCTAAAACAATTTTAACATAACATAAAGATTTCAAAATACAACATGTATACTGCTTTTAAAACACTGCTTTTACATTGTACAATATATATTTATTTTATTACTTACTATATTATAAAATAATTAAATACTCACTATAAAGATTAAAAGAAATACATTTTCAAGTTATATATTACACAGACTCTGATGACATAAATGAAGGGCTTGAACTTCGATTTATGCAAAAAAAAGATATAACACCTGCATAATAGCATAGTTCGTTTACTCCTATAAAGAAATGACGTGAGTTAAAGCCTACAGACGCAGCGCGATGCGAAAATCTGTTTCTATGTAACATTATGGTCATAAACATCCCATAAACAATTGAAATATCACTGTTATAAATTATTTAATACACCAGAAACCCCCGCGGTCATGCCAGTAATTACTTCCGGGTTGGCGTAAAGAGCAACGAGAACGCGAGTGGGGAATTCTGGGAAATGAAGTCAAACATTTCCTCCGTCCTCTGAAATAAGCAACAAACGTTTAAAAGAAAAAAAAACGTTTCATGGAAATTTGTGTCACTAACCAAACTAAAATAATGTACTATGAGGCAAGAATTACCTCCTTTGACAATATCAACTATGTTAGCTATTAAAAAAAATAAAAAACGTTTTATGATAAATGTGTCACTGTCTGAAATGAATATACAAATAAACTATGCTTACTTCAACTTAAAAACTTTGCCTCTCACAGATATATGGTACAGCCAGTTCTTTAAAAAAATATATAAATAAAAAACTAGCATAACTTACACAAGAAACTTGCGCCTCAACTTTCAAAGCTTCCAACTCCGGCACGGGAGATTTGGGAAACTTCTGTGGAGTACAATGTTCCATGACCTAGAAAATACAGAAACATTCTTAATTAAACATAACCAAAATGCAGAAATCACAAATGATTCAACAAAAAAATACCTACTACAACAAGCTTTCAGTCCGACTGAACTTCTTAGATGCGACGCTCCTTCTACAATAGCTACCTAAAGATGGCCGGTACTTAATTTGAAAAACACATCACCTCAACCAAAAACATTTCAAAATAAAACAATTTATCTGACACATCTAATAAACCTGTTAAAAAAATTTCTTTCCAAGCTCCTATATTAGGACTTATTATATAAATAATACAATAATGCAATAAACAAATGCTTTTGTCATAACACTTATAACAATTTAATCTTAAACAATTTTTCGCAAAAATAAACACTGCTTGAGATGAAATTCATATAAAAATCCTTAAATTTATGCAAAATTGTTGCAAAGCTTTCAAATATAATATGAGACACATTATTACACCTGCATTCACCATCTACTAAGTAATATCCATAAACCAGCAACAGTTGAGCCTAAGTATAGAACCAAAGCTAAAATGCCCTCACTTAAAAAAAGAACAACAAAAATCTCACAATATAAGAAATGTTTAAATACTGAAAAAAATCTTTTATCATATGTGTCTTTTTATCTCTTCAATCACACACAAAACATTTTTGGTGTTACAATGTTACAAATCAACAAATTAAATAAAAGGAAAATAATCCAGAGAAATAAAATATAATTATACCATAGTTTTCTTTGAGATACATTAAAAAACTTTAAACAGTTCTTTTTAGATAATTATTTTTGATTTACCCATATAATTGTAGCACTATTACTATTTACATCAACTGCTCTTAAACTACATAAACAATACTATGTTTTAGTTTTAAAATGCTTTACAAATACTCCCTACATTAGGTGGGATTCCATATTTTACTTTGATTTCACAGAGAAAAGAGAAAAAACTAAAACTATTTTTTTTGTTCATAATAATCTATGACCCAAGTTTAAGTTATTATATATTAATTATATTTAAACAGAAATGCTACACATGCCCATGTGATTCAGTGAGTTAACATTTGACATAACAAAACCAACAACAATACCTATGCACTATCTTTTATATTTTATCTTAATTTACTGCTATATGAGATTAGATTTAAAACTGTATCCAATCCCACATACACTTTGACCTGCCATATTAAAACCCCTCAACCTTAAGTAGAAACATTTTGATTTGTCTCACATTATTTTATTTTTGTAATCTTATATAACAATACTTCAACTCCCTATAGTTAAAATGACACTCTTGACAAAAAAATTTCATTCCTCCCATATCTATGAAATGTCTTCCATTTATAACAACAACTTACTTTACCTGTGTTCCATAAAATAGGACTGACCAATTTAAGTCAAGTCAGTAATATCACCTAATAGTAAACACAATCAAATACCATATTTCTTATAAAGCAATTTACCTTTTAAAAATAACAAAGTACATGCCATATCAGACGGTGATTGTCAGCTTACCTATAACTACAACTATACAACCAAACTTAGTTTGAACATCAATCTGTTGCAATGAAAGAACACCTACTTCAATTCTTTGACTATAACAAGTGCACATAAAAAGAAAAGAATACCTGGATATAAAAAACAGGTTTGAAAACACAACTGTGAATCCATTTTCAAAAAGGATTGAAGGAAAATAAAATAAACTGAGGAAAATGTATTGTTTCCATGTTTTGCATCAAAATCCTCCATATCTTAAAAAGGTCTCATGTGACACGCAATGTCTTCTGCTCTAATATTTTTTGATAAAAGCATCACACCTCATAACTTACAAACTTCTATAAAGTACACATCTTTTTTAATCAAATACGCTTATCTTCATACTGCACCTAAGAAAATCTTATAAAACATGCCACTAATTACAATAGATGATTTGCTGACATAGTAGGTTACAGATTTCAATATTATCCCACAGTTTAACTAAAATACATACTCTTCTTTATAACCCATGTGATTCATTCTTACACACTGTTACTAAGGATTAAAAATCAAGTAATATAATGCTTAATAAAAAGCAATACCAAATATAGCAAAGATAAAAAAACATTGTAAGACAATATACACTTTTAATCAATAATAATAGCATTATGAAAGAAACCATGATTGTCAAAAGATCAAGAATACATACTCTAAAGAGGAGAAGATCAATGTAAACTGATAAAAGAACCATATTATTGTCTTTAAAGGTCTGCTCCACCTTACCTTCAAAAATCCATCCATCAACAAAGCCTGAAATGATCAAGTTCAGTACATTACCAGTACAATCCAAAGCAGATGTTGAACAGCCTATATTCACTATGCTGCTTACATTGCAATAAAACCTGAAAAGCAAACCTAATCTATATGTTCAATAAATTTTAAATAAAAAATTCCTTTTATATAGAATATAAATATAATACAATTAATCTATCTATCTTATCAAATGAACTTAACATTCATTTATCATATATAGAAGTGGTGGATTAATGAAACATCTTGAAGCATTTCAAACCATTACAAAACTATATTGATACTGAAGATCCTGTCTCACAGACTGCACCACTAAACACACTACAAACATATCATTTAACAAACTAGTCAAATATGATGTCTTACTACTAATATATGATTTAAATTATTGCTGGTTAAATTGGATGGTAACATAACTATGATTAAATTGAAGATATGTTTGATATTTAAATACAGAATGTAAAATATATCATAACATAAAAAACATAAGCACAAATATAAATGAAGATGCTTATAACCTTGCTAACTTACACACAGATGGCTCAAGGAACCCAGAGTACTTCAAAAATTAAAAAAAAGACAGTTTGTTGAAAAGGCTTCAGAGCATTTATTGACAATAAAGTGCTCTCATTACTCCCACAACATTACATTTACTTTGTTTTAACTCTTCACTGAGACTAAATTGCACATTATAAAATAACTCACATATAATATATGTGGAAATTCATTCATGTAGTACACTATTCAATGTAGACATTCAATTCAATTCAGTTCAGTTATATAGTGCAAATTTAAAACACAAGTCATCTCAAGGCACTTAACATTTTAACCAAATCACACAGTAAAATTGATTAAAACTTTCCTGTCTACAAAAAACCAGTTGATTGCATCAACTCATTGACTCTTCAGCAATCCCTCAAACTAAACATGCTTATAGCAACAGTGAGAAGGGAAAATTCCCTTTTAACAGGAAGAACCTCCAACAGAACCAGGCTCAGTGATAACAGCCATCTGCTGAAGCCCACTGGGATTCAAGGACACAAAAACACAAACAAAAACCAGCTGTAAAAGGCAGCCACGTCCAAGAAACACACAGCCAGACAGACAAGCACCAAGCCAGCTCCAATAATAGAGGATGAAAAGAGAACATCCAGCCAGTCACAGTCAGAAAAACATGACTACACTGGAAAACAGTACAATCTTCAGACAACAACGTTGATGGCAGCAGCACATCCGATGTTTCTCTCCAGGATGGAGTCACAGCCAAACAGGACCAGACAAGACAAAGCTACTCTAAAAAATAAGAGAAATCAGAACATTAGAGATATCATTAACAAATTCTGTACAATAGAAGAAAAGAGAGAAAATGAAATAAAATCATAAAATGGGGGTCACACTGATTAATGATAGTTTACAGCTCTGCTGCAGCTTACCTTCTGAACTCCATCCTTCAACAATCTATATTCTATAGATATTTAAAAATACCTTTAAAATTATAAACTAAGAGTGATAGGTTAAAGAGGCATCATTAAGTAAACCAACATATTACCAAATTATACATTTTTAAAACTTAAAAAAAATATAAATCATAAACATATAATCATAACATGAACACTAATAAAGAAATGTAAATAAGGATACCTGTTTAGAATAATTTACAACTTAAGTGCTTAGATTGCATGTGGGGACATCACTTTAAACCCACCAACTGAAATGACTGCAACATTATTTTGTCCCTAGTTTAACCCTAGCTAACCAAAGCAGAAATGTCTCCACACATCCAAACATAAAAATAAACTCATTTTGATGGCTGGGGGAGAATGAAAAAAAGAAACAAAATAATAAGATAAAGAAAATCAACAGAATCAGCAACAGGCAAGAAATGAAAAAAAAAAAACAGCAACAACAGAATGAAGAGAAGGAAAATCTGCATGAACAGCAGCAGGATAAGAAGAATAGACACAGCAAGAGCATGTCAAGAAGAAATGTTAGACTGATAATTATAAAATTATTGTGTGAACATATGAAACATTGAAAGAAAGAGGATGCTATTTTCTATGCTGTGAGTCAACCAGAAGAGTCATAAACTTTTATGACCTCAAGTCACAATCACACAATAGTATGACTTCAATCCAGCCAGTTGGTCAATTCACACTATCTTGTTACCTGCATCCTCCCAGGCCCACCTGTTTGATGTTGTAAACTGTTAAAAAAAAGGCTTGGCCATGAAAGGAACTGTGTGAGAAGGTAATGGTTATCCTTTTAATCTTTTAAACTCACATTTTTCTGAATTAAAACCTAAAAGGAAGACAAAAGACACAGCAAAATAAGCAACAACAGCAGAATGATGACAGACTGGCAGCTCCAAAAAGATGAGGAGCAAGAAAATGAATAGAAAAAACAACAAACATGACTAATGCTCAAAAAAGTATATTGGAGCCATGGTCCACACCCAACAAGAAATGGGACATTTTGAATCAAAGATACCATTTTCATTTTTTAGGTAATGACATATCTGAGTGAAGGGCTCTTGGTTTTCTTTTTGAGTTTGAGACTTCAAATTAGCTTTACATGGACTATAGTCATAGCAAATTAAAAGTTATCTAAATTATGATTCTACATGGGAGCATGCGGGCGTTGCTAAGCATCAAACTGTTAACTCCAGTCATCCAAAGCCATGCTTTTACGAGGAGGAGAAGGATAGTGATAATGAGAAACAAACAGCAGTAGGAAATGCAGTGAGAGTAGCAGCAGGAAGAAGAATATGAAGAGAAGGAGCACAGGGGGAGAAAGATGATTAGGATGAGAAACAGCAGAAGGAAAATGAAGGAGGATTAAATGAAGCAGGATAAGGAGGATGAAGAGGATCAGGAGAAGCAGCAGTAGGCAGGGGATGAACAGAAAAAGCAGCAGCAGGATGAGGAGAAGGAGATGCAACAAGAGCAACCACTAAATGAGGAGAAGGAGATGCAACAAGAGCGACAGCAGGAGTAGGACAAGGAGACACAGGAAGATAAGCAGAAGCAGGAGGATGATGAGGACAAGCTGCACTAGCAGGAGGATGAGGAAGATGAGGAGAAGCTGCAGGAGGAGGAGGAAAAGAAACAGTGGCAGCAGCAGAACAAGAAGGAGGGGGACGATGAAGAGAAGCAGCAGCAGGCATAGGCTGAAGAGCAGGAGCATAGGCTGGGAAGGAGCGTGGAGGTGGAGGTCGCTTGGTTCCCGCGATCGCAACATACCAGGCGGTGCGAGCTGCGAGGGCCGCTCAATGCCACTTGTGGCTTTAATTAGGCCCGAGCAGCAAAGCGCTGCGAAGGCCTATTGTATTTCGAAAGTTTCTTATTATTATTATTATTATTATTACGATTCTTGTAGCACTTTGAACGCATTTTACGGGGACTTCGCATATTCAAAAACTCAGGAAAACGTGCCTGTATTACTGCAGCAATGCGGCGTGGCATGGAGTCGATCAGTCTGTGGCACTGCTCAGGTGTTATGCTCTAATAGTGGCTTTTAGCTCTTCTGAATTGTTGGGTCTGGTGTATTGCATCTTCTTCTTCACAATACCCCATAAATTTTCTATGGGGTTAAGGTCAGGAGAGTTTGCTGGCCAATTAGGAACAGGGATACCATGGTCCTTCAACCAGGTACTGGTAGCTTTGGCACTGTGTGCAGGTGCCAAGTCCTGTTGGAAAATGAAATCTGCATCTCCAAAAAGTTGGTCAGCTGCAGGAAGCATGAAGTGCTCTAAAACTTCCTGGTATGTGGCTGCGTTGACCCTGGACCTCAGAAAACACAATGGACCAACACCAGCAGATGACATGGCACCCCAAACCATCACTGACTGTGGAAACTTTACACTGGACTTCAAGCAACGTGGATGAAGTGCCTCTCTTCTTTTCCTCCAGACTCTGGGACCTTGATTTCCAAAGGAAATGCAAAATTTACTTTCATCAGAGAACATGACTTTGGACCACTCACCAGCAGTCCAGTCCTGTTTCTCTTTAGCCCAGGCAAGACGCTTCTGACGCTGTCTGTGGTTCAAGAGTGGCTTGACACAAGGAATGCGACAGCAGAAACCCATGTCTTTCATACGTCTGTGTGTGGTGGTTCTTGAAGCACTCACTCCAGCTGCAGTCCACTCTTTGTGAATCTCCCCCACATTTTTGAATGGGTTTTGTTTCACAATCCTCTCCAGGGTGTGGTTATCTCTCTTGCTTGTACACTTTTTTCGACCACATCTTTTCCTTCCCTTCGCCTCTCTATTAATGTGCTTGGACACTGAGCTCTGTGAACAGCCAGCCTCTTTAGCGATGACCTTTTGTGTCTTGCCCTCCTTGTGCAAGGTGTCGATGGTCGTCTTTTGGACAACTGTCAAGTCAGCAGTCTTCCCCATGATTGTGTAGCCTATAGAACTAGACTGAAAGACCATTTAAAGGCTTTTGCAGGTGGTTTGAGTTAATTAGCTGATTAGAGTGTGGCACCAGGGGCCATCAATTTTGAACCTTTTCACAATATTCTAATTTTCTGATATGATGAATTTGAGATTTTCATTTGTTGTCATTTGTAATCATCAAAATTAAACAAAATAAACATCTGAAATATATGAGTTTGTATGTAATGTATGAATATAATATACAAGTTTCACTTTTTAAATGGAATTACTGAAATCAATCTACTTTTTCATGATATTCTAATTTTATGACCAGCACCTGTATATTTTATCCCTAGTTTAACCCTTCCTGACCAAAGCTGTGGTTTTCTCCGGCTGGTCCAGAGGTGAAGCGTGGCGCCTTTTCCGCTGGCTGAGAAGGAGCAAGGGGGCGGCAAACTTCTAACTTGCTGAGCCTCGATTTAAGACATAAGGGGTCAAAAGCAATCAAAAGAGTTTTTGCTGTGACAAACCATGTGGGCGTGGCCAAGCATCAAAATCAGACTTTGCGCCATTACAGTATGACTAAACTGCCTCAGGCCCTAATTTTATTAAGGATTATTAAATTTGTATAGCCGAACACGATGCTCAAAAAAGTATATTGGAGCCATGGTCCACACCCAACAAGAAATGGGCCATTTTGGATCAAAGATACCATTTTCTTTTTTTAGGTCATGACATATCTGAGTGAGGGGCTCTTGGTTTTTTTTGAGTTTGAGACTTCAAATTAACTTTACATGGACTATAGTCATAGCAAATTAAAAGTTATCAAAATTATTATTCTACATGGGAGCATGTGGGCGTGGCTAAGCATCAAACTGTTAACTCCAGTCATCCAAAGCCATGCTTTTAGGAGGAGGAGAAGGATAGTGAGGATGAGAAACAAACAGCAGTAGGAGATGCAGTGAGAGCAGCAGCAGGAAGAAAAAATATGCAGACAAGGAGCACAGGGGGAGGAGGATGATTAGGATGAGAAACAGCAGAAGGAGAATGGAGGAGGATTAAATGAAGCAGGATAAGGAGGATGAAGAGGATCAGGAGAAGCAGCAGTAGGCAGGGGATAAAGAGAAAGAGCATCAGCAGGATGAGGAGAAGGAGATGCAGCAAGAGCGACAGCAGGATGAGAAGGAGATACAGCAAGAGTGACAGCAGGAGGAGAAGGAGACACAGGAAGATAAGCAGAAGCAGGAGGATGATGAGGAGAAGCTCCATTAGCAGGAGGATGAGGAAGATGAGGAGAAGCTGCAGGAGGAGGGGGATGAGAAACAGTGGCAGCAGCAGAACGAGAAGGAGGGGGAGGATAAGAGAAGCAGCAGCAGGCATAGGCTGAAGAGCAGGAGCATAGGCTGGGAAGGAGCGTGGAGGTGGAGGTCGCTTGGTTCCCGCGGTCGCGACATACCAGGCGGTGCGAGCTGCGAGGGCCGCCCAATGCCACTTGTGGCTTTAATTAGGCCCGAGCAGCAAAGCGCTGCGAAGGCCTATTGTATTTCGAAAGTTTCTTATTATTATTATTATTATTAGGCCCGAGCAGCAAAGCGCTGCGAAGGCCTATTGTATTTCGAAAGTTTCTTTTTATTAGGCCCGAGCAGCAAAGCGCTGCGAAGGCCTATTGTATTTCGAAAGTTTATTATTATTAGGCCCGAGCAGCAAAGCGCTGCGAAGGCCTATTGTAATTCGAATGTTTATTATTATTA